TGCTCCTTTGATGCTGCTTGGCCTGCTGTGTTCATCCAGCTCTACACCTTGTTATCTCAGATTCTCCAGCATCTGCAGTTCCTACTATCTCTCCATGCATGGAAAGTTGGCTTCAATGATGGTCTGGGCTGTGCACACCATCTTCTGTAGCTTCTTATGGTCCTGGGCAGAATAGTTGCCATACCAGGCTATTATGCACCTGGACAGTATGCTTTCAATGGTGCATCTGTAGAAATTGGTGAGGGACCTTATGGACATGCCAAATTTCCTGAGCTGCCTGAAGAAGAGGTGTTGTTGTGCCTTCTTGAATGTTACATTTATGTAGCAATTCCAGGACAGGTTGTTGGTTATCGTCACTCTGAGGAATTGATGCTCTTCATCCTCTCAACCTCAGTTCTGCTGATATAGAGGGGGCCGTGTTCTCTCCTTTCTTTCTGAAGTCAATGATCAGTTCTTTAGTTTTGCTGATGTTGAGAGACAGATTGTTTTCATTGCACCACATCACTATCTCATTCTGTAGTTTGACTTGTCGTTGTTAGATATCCATCCCACTACAGTGGTGTCATCAACGAACTTGTAAATGGCATTTGTTTGGAATTTGGCAACACTGTCATAGATGTAAAGGGAGCACAGAAGGGGGCTGAGGACGCATCCTTGGGGGGGCTCCAATATTGAATGTTATTGTTGAGGAGGTCCAGTCACCTATCGTCACTGATTGCAGCCTATGGGTCAGAAAGCTGAGGATCCAGTTGCAGAGGGCAGAGCCGAGTCCAAGGTCACAGAGTTTTGAGATCAGTTTGGAGTGGATAATGGTGTTGAAGGCAGAGCTGTAGTCAATGAGCAGGAGTCTGACGTACGTGTCTTTGCTGTGTCAACGTTCCAGGGATGAGTGCAGAGCTAGGGATATGGCATCCTCTGTGGACCTGTTATGTCGGTAGGCAAACAGTAGGGGATCGAGGCAGGTTGGGAGACTGAAGTTGATGTGGGCCATGATGAGCCCCTCGAAGCATTTAATGATTATTGAGGTCAGAGCCACTGGGCAGTATTCATTAAGGCATGTTGCATGTGCTTCCTTAGTTATGGGGATGATGGTGGTTTTCTTAAAGCAGGTGGGGACTTTAGCTTGTAGGAGGGAGAGGTTGAAGATGTCGGTGAATACCTCCGTCAGTTAGTCCACACAAGATCGGAGTGCTCAGCCAGAGACGCAGTCCAGGCCCGACACTGTCCTTGGGTTGACTCCCAGGAAGAACGATCTGACGTAAGAACTGGTAACAGAGGGAACAGGTATGTCTGCGGTTATTAGAGCAGGCGTGACCACACCGCTTGAATTCTGCTCGAACCGAGCATAGAAAGCATTGAGCACGTTAGGAAGGGATGTGTCTTTGTCCACTATCTAGCACTGCTTCATTTTAACCATTCTGTGTCAGTACATTCTGCATGTACACTAAGTATGAAATATAATTTTATAGTTTTATTATGTTAAAATGAATGGAGATTCATATGTTGATCCTTGTGTAACAATCTCATTTAATTGAGGTCATAAAATATTTAATTTGAAAAAATACACCATTTTCATATCATAAACCTATATATGCTATTCCCTAGAACAAACTGTTGTGAGTGATTTTAAGGAAGTAACTATGTCTCAAGGGTGTCTGCCAATGTACATGAATAGAATATCTCCATTGTAGAAGTGTAGTGAAAAGTTTTTACAATGTCTGCCTCTTATGGTGCCATCTTAGGT